ACTTGTTCTCTAGGTGCTACACCAGCATCGGGTCCCATCGATGATATTCGAATAGCAATTTCATTAACTCAGAATCCACTATAACAGTCTCCTCGAATATAGTCCTACTGCTAGACGCCTCCCCACTTCTCATCGATGACGTCATTTTCGCAAGAAAAAGAAATACGCGAAGCGAATGATAAATTACGAAGTAAAGAACAATGAAGAAATTAGTACTTATGCGCAAGAAGATAAGAAACATAGTTAAAGTAGAAGATATAAGAGTTGTAGATTAAGAAGCAAAGACGAAAACCTAAATTATTTCTAAGTCCAGCGTTTTATACTCTCCTATTTATGACCGTTAATGTGCAATTTGGGGGCGCGTGGGCGCACGCGCGACCTTCGAACGACGCGACCTTTCACTTTTCTCTACCCAATATTAGCGTGCCACGTGCCAACATATATATGTATCCGTTGCAACTCACCAATGCTAGTGCGCCTTTTCACGAGCCGTCGCCTTAATACCTTATGTCCCTAACCGTTACATTATTCTGCCAATAGCCCATTACGGATTTTTCCCTATGGAAAACATGTCCACATTTTTCTAAGTGTTGGGACCTCGGAATACAGTGCCAAACAGAGGATGCAGAGCATGAAGGGCCGACGTCAGAATTCATTCCCAAGTCGGATTCAAAAAATATTTACTAACGACGCCAGCAGCTATCACTTTCGTATACCTACTAGCGCCGGGGGCCTCTATGTTGACCACCGACTTGGTAATTTATGGGCCATTCAAAAGACAAACCAAATTGTGGACAAATCAATCATAATGACGTTGACCTCCAAGATAACCTTATGCTATCACAACACGAAAGGTATTCTCATTATAAACATAACGCGACCCCAGAACCAAACTTCTCTATTTTCCGACATGACAGCCTACCGAAACCGACATGAAACCAACTTCGGTTGTCACCGACGTCCCGAATTCCCTTCACCGACGTAACGACCAACCTCGAGTATAACCGAGTTCATCAATTCTGAAGCAGGTGACGAGACGCCTACTCGATGTTCTTACGTTTCGTGCCCAACTTCATGATGATCGTGGGCCCGATTGACATAACCACCCAGTTATAGCAGCTTTTCACATGATCCCGAATTATTTGGAAGTCTCGAAATACGTGTAATGAAAAAGTTACTATATATAGGGTAAAATTCCCTCAGTACGGGGGACTCTTTTTTTCGACACTCCGTACAATTTTCACCCCGGAAAAACAGACACCAAGCACACATCGATCAATAAAAATCCTAACTTACCGCTATTTTCTTACTTGAATCACGTACTCTTATGTTAATGATGTTGTTACAAATCCATACGACAACATGGGTAATTATAATTAGAGTCTCAAATGTAATTTGGGCTAGGAAAAGGGAGTATAATAATATTACGTTAGTGGACCGTAATATTATTTAAGTAACTGGAAGAGTGGGTCTGGCCTATAGTTAGTCCATTACTTAAGAAGCCCTGTTCCTAATCTCCTAAGGATATGTACTGTAGCTCTATATATACAACATTAAGCTCATGAAAAAAGATCAATCAATCACACATAATTCACGTGCAACATCTCTCTCTCTCTCTCTAAATCTCATTCGAGCTTTATCTTCTTCTCGTTTCTCCACCGGTATGAGTTGAAGAGATGTGTGAGTAATACAATAGAAGATCCAAAGGCAATCGAGACCCGATGATCATCTACAGAAGTCAACGAATCTCAACTCGAAGGTCAAGATCCGCCAACCCGACCATTGCCGACGATCGCCGCCAGCGGGAGCCGACGAACGAACTGCCGCGACGACCCGATCGCGATTCGGCAGCCCCGTGACGTGCGACCTGTAACACCCCGCTATCTTACTAGTATCATAGTAAATGTTTTGCAAAGTTTATTTCGAAAATACTTATTAATTCTTCGAAATCATTTTAACTTAACTCGGGATGTTACTAAAAACTCATATGTTCTAAAAATCCGTTTTTCTTTAACTTGGTCTAAATACTAGTTTAGACATAAACAAAACAGATTATAAACGTTAATCAAACAAGCATGTAAACTTTACCAGACCCAGCTAGTGATCCGGTAACATTCTAAAATCTGTACATAATAACATGCGAGTTCGAAAACTATAACTGTCAGCGAAAATGTAAAACGTGGCAAAATATATACAGACTGCAATGTATACAAAAGTCCACAAAATGGCATCTGACCAAGTCCACGACCACCATCACTGCATCTGTACTGACGCCTGCGACCCGACCCTGTAATCTGAAAAAGATAATAGTGGGGCGTGAGCACGAAAGTCAACTGTGCTCCGCAGAAACCAGCACTGAATAAACGGCACATATAATAACATATCATGACCTCAGCTTATACATAAATAAAACTATACTGTACTGTGCAACATCTGAAAACTGGCCGAACAACATGTGATCACACTCTGGGGGTCGCCTCCCCAGAACCCAGGATAACTCAACTGAGCGAGTGACTCAGGATGGGAAAAACCTTCTATACAAGACCGAGTCACCTAAAACTGGACCACGAACGGGATAACTCAACCTTTCGGGTCAAATATCTACATATATACCTCATACATGGTACAAGATTATAGGCGATGTAATACCCAGTGTAAGGCCCCCACCTGTACTGTTGAAAATGAAAATGGCAGTGCTGAACTAGAATAGCTGTCTCCTCAAGCTACATAAAATTATAAGCAAATAATATACTAAGTATATGCTCAGAATACTCAATAAAATGCTAAAATGCTCGACTTTAATTTCTAACATACCCGGATTAACTGGAACGCGCTAAGGGTTCGATATAAAATTATACTAAGTTCAGATTTAACTGATATAACTTAAACTGAACTGATTTGGCTCGGGAAAATACTAAAAATTTCGGAATAAAAATCGGACCGAAATACTTTAACCAAAACTGACTCGAACCGGCCAGTTCACTTGCTAACTGGACTGGACTGAACTAAACGGGTATGGCTTAGACCACCGATAGGCTGTGAACTGGGTGGTCGCTGCTGACCCGAGCTGACCGGGCTCGGTCTCGCGCAGGGCCTGCTGGTGCCCTGGCGCAGTGCTGGACATGACTGGGTACGAGGCTGAACGGTGCCATGCGCTGTTAGCACGGCTAAATACGGTACTAGTGTCACTCAGGTGTTGTTGGGCACGACTGAGTCCAATTGAACACTCTGGCGTGTTACTGGCATGGACAGAGACCGACTAGACTCACTTAACCCTTCTCGGATTCTCTTTTGAGTGGCACGAGCGGCTGGACTCGTGACCCCACGTTCTGGGGCTGGAAGGGTGCTACCGGGCGCTGCCAAAGCTGTCTGGGCACTATATGCGCCGTCGCTAGGTACACAGACACGAGACACGCGTTGTCGGGCGATGCAAGTGTGCACCGGAATGAGTGCATCGCGCCTATACGGCGCGAGCACTGCGGGATTCAGCCTCTGCAGACCCGGGCCGGCACTGTGCGCGCTATATGTGCGACCAGTGACTACGACCGGACCTTACTGGCCGTTCGACGACTTGCTCCGGGGCTAACAACTCAAATCAACTCAACTTGACTTAAAATACTTAAAAATGCATAAAGACCCTGGTAGACCTTGGTTAAATTTTAAGATGATTTGATAGGGCCGATATGGCTCATACGAAACTAAAATCACCGAACAAATGTAATCTACTACAAAAATTACTCAGGGCCGAATGCATAGCTATTAAAATCATGCCTTTTGAAGCTTACATGCTGGCTATTACTCGGTTACAACTCAATTTGATTCGGACGATCAAATATGCTAACATTTACATGCCAAAAGACCGAGTACATGAACTCCAAATAAGCTAATCTCTTACCAACATCATATACATGATTTATAAGAATTTCGAAGCTATCAATCTAGGCCGAAACATGCTTTCTACTAAAATTTTGAATTTAAGCTTTAAATGATCACAATTTCGAAACTACACCTTAGGCTTGAATATGGATTGATTTAATCACATGATAATTTTTATAATATCATATGACAGCTATAAAAATTAATAAACCCGAGCTAACCTTTTCGAAACTAGGAAAATGGTACTAGTCCTCTTCCTCGGGCTTACTCGCGTCTTCTCGAAAAATACGTAGCCCCGGTTGCTTTTGACCTCAACCGATGGACTTAATGGACTTAATATCCTCTTTACACTCCCAGATACTCTCTAAAATTGACATGGTATAGATGAAATTGATTGGAACAAGATGAAGCCCAGTTCTCTTCTTTTCTCGCGACAAGGCTCACACACACTTCACTCGGCTTATATTTATTTTTTCTAAGTATAGGGTGCGTTTATGAAAGAATAAGAGTAATATGATAATCAATCCCTCTTTAACCTGATGTTCTCGTGTATATATATATAGAGAGGGAGAGGGAGAGAAGGAATCATATGAGAAAGGGGGATAGTGAAAGAAATGAGAATGACTCTAGTTCATTGGATACATCATATCAATGATTAAGATGAAGTCAAAGATTAATAATCCCAGTCAAATCACAATGGCAGTCTTGTAATTATGTGGCAAATATTGGTATGTGATGTAAACTTAGAGGGTAGTGGTGTAATTTCCCTTCACCTACTAACCACCCTATTTATCTCACTGGGGCCCACAAAACCATCTCCCACTTTCTCTCTTCTTTCTCTCTTCTTCACTCACAGACGCACACACACATTTACACACGCATCACACATTCCCGGCCACCAGTTATTCATCGGCCACCAGATATTCGCCGACCACCGTGACCACCGCCGCATCACAGCCCGCCGCCGTCGTAACACCGGCACCACAGAATTACACACATAAAAATCCCCATTCGGAACACACACACACACACACGCAGCAAAGTCGATCCCCGACCCATACGGCGACCGCTAACCGGTCAGCAACCCATCGCCGACACGAGCTCTACCGATACAGTCATTTTCGATGCCAGCTCCGCCGAAGTTCCGCCGTTGCAGTCGCTTCATCACCAGGTCTATGGTGGACGTCGTCGAGATGGACACCGTCTGGGGTCGCGAAATCAGGCTTCTATCCATCAGACACCATCGATATGAAAGCTGGAGTCTCGAGGCATCCACCGATGAACCGCCGTATAATGAGATCTGCAGAGCATCGGGCGAAGTCCGGCTTCGTTACCCTCACCAATCTCGCCACAGCGTCTGGCGGCGAAAGGATCCGTCATATCCCAGCGTGGCGGCAGCGAGAACTCTGATGATTCAGTCGCCGTGAGTTTGGGTGGAAAAGACGAGCGTTGCGTGCTGGACAATTGGAGTTTTAATTGATTGTGGGGCTTTCAAATGAAAATTAGATAATCTTGGGGGCATATTTTGCAATTTCTCAACTAATATATGTGTATTTTTATTACTTGAGGCAATTTATAATTTAGTGAAATTAACTTTTACATAAGAATGACACATTAGATGTAAATATTTTGTGTAGCTGTGCACTTTAAAAAATAATGTCATATGAATATAAAATTATTAAAAAAAATTGATATGTAATTGGTTTTATAAGTGAATTGAGCAATATTGTGTATAAATATACAATGTAAAAATAATTAATCATAATGAAATATAAAATTTCAAATTTAAAAATCCGAAATAATGAATTATTTTGTCGGTTAACATAAATAGTCAAAATAACCGATATAAATTATATTCTTTATTATAAAACATGATTAGTATTTAATATTTTATTATTTAATGTTTTATATTATTTTTTGATTAAACATAGTAGTATATATGTAAACGATATATACTCTGCAATCTAACAGTTATTAAGGTGCAATTCGTTCAACAGTATGGTGCAAGATGTCAGTACGTATTGTGCATATTAAACCAAGCGAACTTTGGTCCTAATCAAATTGAAGATGAACATAAGTAATTGGTTTATTCGCTTTGGTTAACCGATTTATTATAAATTATTGAAATAATTGTTAATTTATATTAGAATTATATTTAACATGTTAATAATTTCATTTACTATTTTTTATATTATTTTTGGTTAAAAAAGAAAAAAAAATGAGTTCGGTTGGTTTCATTTGCTATTCGGGCGATCTTATACTCATGTAAAGTGTAGAGTGTAATTTTTATAAAGTGCAACATGTTGATGTATAAAGTGAAACATGTTGATGTATAAACTGCACTACTTTTATTTCTATATTTTAAAATATTTGTTTTTATGTGGACAAATGATGTGATAGGTGTTAAAATATTATGTAGATCAATTTTTTAGATTTATGTTGTGTGGTATTTTTTGTGCGAACTATTAACGTTAATTGTAGAGTATGATGAAAAAATTGTGCTTGATGTTTTATAAAGTGCAACGCGTTGTTTTATAAATTGCGACATGTTGTTTTATAAAGTGCAACGCGCTATTCTATAAATTGCATTAGTTTATACGAAATCGGATAAATTGTATGTATTGAAAGACTAGTTTTAATAGATAAAATTGTACATCGAATTAACCTAAATTCACAAAATACTTATTTTTTTTTGTAATTTTATAATTACTTAATAAATTATTGAAACAAATTATTAAATGAATTACCTTTATTATTCCAGGGATTAACGGAATTAACTTAAATAATATAAATGATTTACCATTTATAAATTAATATCATCTCGTATTAGTAAAAGTTTTAATATTTGTAAAAAATATATATTTTTTACGGTAATGTTCATCCTCGTACGTAATAATGTGCATTCGTTCTGACACTGTAGTGCCATATGATGATCAATAATGTGCATCTCGTTTAGTAACATTGTGCACTCGATCGTGTATATATATATATATATCTAGTATTTATAAGTTTTATTTGATATTTTTTATATTATTGTTTGTTGAAAACAACCAATATATACATATATGTTATAAAACTAGAGAGAAAAGAGAGAATAGAGAAAATGTATTTTCTTGGTTCGATTTTCATTATAACTGATGATCTTATTTATAGGAAAACTTCTGATGGCACAATCGTAATAATACAATTACATCAAGGGCAAAATAGTCATTCACAAATACATATATTATTTGTGTGGTTCATAATGGTTCATAACACTCCCCCCTTGAATGACTATTTCTTAAACATATTTTAATTGATTTGAACAAAGCCCAATCTGCACATCTTCAAGTGTATATTGTGGCCATCAGGTACCGTTGCTTCAACATGTCAGGAAAACCCAGTGGGGCAAAACCTAATCATCGTGAAATCATAACATTGTTTCCTCAGGAAAACCCGGTGGGACAAAACCTGAGCATTGTGGAAGCACAACATTGCTCCCCCTCAAATAGATCGTCTTTAGTAGAGTATCCACGTGGTGCCTCGTTAAAAGCTTGTCGAAAAAACCCAGTGGGAAAAAACTTGATCGAAGGAAAAAGAGTACAGCTACTCCAGTCTCTGTTATCATCATGAGGGATTATACCATTTATCCAGTAGTCCTCATCATACCATGAATATGCCTCGTTAAAACCTTATTAGGAAAAACCCAGTTGGACAAAATCCTAATGAAGGAAAAAGAGTACACTATTCATGTGAATACATCATCCCTGTTGCCTCATTAAATACCTTGCTAGGAAAACCCAATGGGCCAAAACTTCAGCCAAGGGAAAAAGAGTACAACGCGTATTCCATATATTCACTATAATAATCTTTCTATAATATATTTGTATGAGTATCATATAAGTTCGTTCAGATTTTCAGATACTGATGGTATTCATGATAATATGTCATATCATGCTTTGCGCAACTTTCATTCTTAAACTCATTCTCATCATCAATTGATTTAAATGGTCTTACTACCAATAATTCCCAATATTCACATTTCAGCTAATTTCATTTTCGTCAATATCATTTATATAGCGCTATTCATTTGTTTGTGTCGACACTTATTTATTTCCATTTTCCCCGTAATATTGAGATATCTAATTATCAATTGATTTCATCAATGATATATATATATATATATATGTCTCCTTTCATCACTTATTTGGGGGATTTTAATTTGCACAATACCAACGCTTCCAGCGTATTATTCCACCATCATATCATTTCATATATTTCACCATCATCAGTATCATACAGTTTATGATTTGCACACTTTCAGTGTGATGCATATAACATTCCCAAATTTCAATCATTTATTCTCCCCCTCATCTTAACAGATCCCTGATCTGTATTTCCAGTATTGAATTTCTTGAGGGGAGTTCATATAGTCTCCATTCTATTCTCGATTTCAACATATATTTCGAGGACTTTGAACTCATATCATTTGTAATGTGCACATTTTTCTTTCAAGAGTTCATAATATCAGCCGAGTATATTACTAGCTTCATCATTTTCATATGACACTTATTTCGTTCTTTCATAATCATTTTGTGTCATTCTTTGATCAAACCATCTCGTAACTTCAGGTTACGTGTCATATACACATTCTTTGATCAAATCATCTCGTAACTTCAGGTTACGAATCACACACATGTGGCTATCTAGTGGATCCATAATATCTAGTTGCACACATGGATGGGTAGTGGGCCCATATATATATCATACCCCTTTCATACTCATATTGATCAAATATCGGTTCATAAATATTTAGCTAGTAATACTTTTCACCAATCGAGAACGAAGCATCTCATATCACAAATAATCAGTTAATCATGCAAACCATCATCATGATTTATACCAGTAAACATTTTTAAAGTGATCACAATAATTCATAGTGAGACGTTTATCACAAACATTTCAGATCATCTTTCGGCGGCAATAAATGCACTTTAAGTGTAGGCTCTGGCACAATATCTTTTAGCCACTATTTAAATCCAGAATCGTATCATGCGTCTGACACACATACTATTGAACACTGCTTAGAGCCGTATCGCATACGCATCATTTCTATAAATTATCAGGTAATTCATTCAATCTTTCTTAACAAAGGTCCGGATTTACAAATGGATCTAGCACTCTCAAATATCCGTAAATATTATCCATTTGTTCCAGTAAATATCATAAAAAGGATTTATCGATCTTGATTAGAAAGATTGAGGGTGCTAATGAATAATTGTATTCCAAATGATGTTTGATGGTTGATCGAAGCACAAGTTCGATTGTCTGGAGAGTTTTCAAATTCATATAAATATATGCCAGGTATGGGTAAAAGTACTTTTGCAAAGAAACAAAGAGCAAAAAGATTAGATGGATGCTTCAAATGCGCTCGATGGACTTGTGACACATGATGTAAATCTGTGGGGTACGTGTCCAAAAATCGGGAAGATAAAATAGCATTTATAAAGGATGGATTGAGTAAGGAGTCTCTGGATCACACGTTTCAACAAATTCTTGAGACATATCCTAGTGGATATGTGCATCGTGAGCTTATGTCTTTATGGACTCAGTTCAAAAGTGAAGAAGAATGTTATAGTCTCAAAAATATTATTTTAAAAGATCAAGTTTGTAAAATTGGTCTTGTTAGTACGAAAAATCATACTAATACAGTTTAGTAGGTTAACCTACTGTAATTTTACAAAAAAATTTTATAGCTGCCGACAGATAAGAATTATTTAAAACCCAACACCTTATCTGTCAGTTGCAATTGTCAGAAGGAAATAGTAAAATTATTTATCGTGTTGTAAAGCTTTCTATTAGAATAGCGAGTCGTTCATCATAATAATATGCCTCACAAAGTTTTGAAAAATTCAGTTTATCAATAAATAGATGGATGTTTCTGAGTCTTCGCAAGGTAATAATTTTCTTCAACTGATCAAAACCATATGTGTTCTTGGTTGTTCTAAACTGGTAAGTTTTTCTCAAACTATGGATATTGTAAGTCAGTTAGCAAAAGAGATGGGGAATCAAAAAATCAATTTGCTGTATGGAGAGACTAGCAATACTTTCTATGATAGTCTCTTAATGGCTGGACAATGTTTTGAGATAGAAGTGAAAAGTATCATACCCTTTCGTAGAGCTTCAACCAGAGTCGTCAAGGATTCCACAAGCATGATGCTAACTCATTCTATTTATGATTATATGATGGATATGGTAAACAATAGTGATGCTTTTATCATTCTCTCAGGTGGTTATGGAACGCTAATGACAATGTTTACCATTGCTTCTTGGGCGGAATTGAAACTTCATAACAAGCCCATAGGTCTATTGAATTTTAATCACTTCTTTCATGGTTTCCTTGGATGTTTAGACGTAGGAGTATATCAAACCTTTATATCTCCTTCAATGAGAGAAGTATTCAAATCTGCTGACACGTCTGCTGAACTTATCAAAAAGCTTTAAGAATGCATCATATTTCAAGATTTTGTGGAAACACAAAGGGTCAAGCGAAAAAGAGCTTTTGATCCTTTAGATCTCTTATTATGAACCCAGATATCATTCATGGGTGGCAGAGTTACGGAGTTTTACACTCTTGATACGCACCCTTCTTTTATGGGTTCAATTATGTAATCTTTGCGTATTTAGTATTCATCGAGCATTTACCGCCTCTTCTCCATATTTCCACCATCTGAACTTTTTGTACTTGTTTCTCAGTAATAATAATATCAATTTTCGCTTTTACAATCATTATCATTTGTGCTTCTTCCGGAGCACTTAATTGTAATATTTGTATGATCTCGTATCTCAATGTGATCTTGTCATCTGATATATCCCCTTAAACTTATATAATATATTGCGAAATCATTTTGTGTGATCACCCATAACTGGTAGCTTTTGATACCACTTTTTTTCAATTTGTTCAATCGTCCAGTGATAGCTACTAGTATCATTTTGTTTAGTCATAAAATGGTAGCTTCAAGTACTAATATACCAGATATCATTTACTCATTAAGTAGTAACTTCTGGTACTACTTCATCGATATTCGTTTATCCATCAACAAATTTAGAGAATTTATCAACTGTTCCTTCAGGATCAGGTAAGTCCATATAATGTCTGTTCACGACAAGGATTTTAATTAACTTTCACATGGCCAGATATAAAGTATCATTAATTTTCACTCATCGGCTATCACGTAATTTGTATTTCCCGTAGCCGGCGGTAAATCCGCACTGGCCGGCCCATGTATATATATAGCCATTCATTTTTTGCACGTGGCGTTGCCACCTGGCCTCCATATTACCGGTTATCATAAATACGTTTATCATTTGGCTATCACCTGTCATCATTATTCAATACACTTGTCATCTGGCCATCATCGGTCATCATTATTCAATACACTTGTCATTTGGCCATTACCGGTCATCATTATTCAATACACTGACCGGTTCACTTAGTTGATCAAATCTTCTTTTGTATTGTCTATTTCAGTGGATACACTGCTCGACCATTTCACATGATCTTCCATATTACGACAGTTGACCCGTAGGCTACCATTAAATATTCCGTGCCGGCGGCAGAGCCGCACTGGCCGTCTATGTAGCCACACATACTTCTTATCATATCATAAGGGTCAATATATAAATATCCACATGTTCACGTACCAAATAATTTTCTCAATAGAACAAAATCAAACATTTCATAATGACAATATATATTAATATAATTTAATAAACCATATCAATATTGATCTTAAATCGAGAAGCTCTAATTATTTTTAGACATAATGAAATTATTAGAAAATTATTTTATAATGCACGTTTTCAATTATTGATGGAAATATATGGAGTTTAATGAAAACAATATTATTGATAATATTTTGTCCTATTTCATTTGTCACTTTGTGTCTGCCATTTCAATAATGTGAGTGAAGCAAACCCCACTCCCCATATTTATTTTAATGACATGGTAGTGTTTGGCCACCACTATTTTTCCTTTTATTCTTATTTTCATTTATTTCTTTCCACAAAATCTTATCATCTTCAAGACTTCAAGTGGTGCAGATATTCACGGCCAAATAAAGTAGCTTCTTTTTATCAGTTTTCATATATATGCTTTTCCTTTCTTATTAAGCTAGTAAATTGAGAGCCACCCATCACCCATTAAGATTGAAATTTACTTACCACAGTAGCATCACGCCCTCCACAAATCTCCATGTCACACACCTGTGTTCAGCGGCTCCTTGTAAACAGCACTAAGATGGCGTCGGAAAAACTAAAATCTAGTGGTGGTTCGATTTTGGCCTCAGACATGAGAATGGCCAACTACGTCATCATGATTTTCCTTTAATTTTTGGGTTTCTCAGCAACGACACGACGAGCATTAATGATACAAGAAGAGTTTAATCAAGTTTTCTCTCTCTATGTATTATTTTCTTTCCTTTTCTTTTGTTTTTTATGTTTCTATGATCGGGAAATACAACTAGTATGAAGTATTGTTTGATGAAGAAGAAAATTTGTAATATTTTGATTTCTGATACAGAAGATCGTCTTATAGACGCAACTATAGAGCATACTTTCGACATATTACAAATCGAGCTCTAGAGGGTAGAGACTCGTGCTGATAATGTGTTATAAAACTAGAGAGAAAAGGGAGAATAGAGAAAATGTATTCTCTTTGTTCGATTTCCATTATAATTGAAGCTCTTATTTATAGGAAAACTTCTGATGGCACAATCGTAATAATACAATTACATCGATGGCAAAAGAGTCATTCACATATACAGATATTATTTGTGTGGTTCATAATGGTTCATAACAATATATTATTCTTATTATTTTTATGTAAATATAAAGTAATAATTTTCTTGTATATATATATATATATAGAGAGAGAGAGATAAAATATAAAATAATGAATTTAGTTTGATATCTTTTATCTAACATTTTTTATATATTTTCTAGAAATTTCAGATTTAGCCCATGGATTAAATTGACATTTAACCAAAAGTTGTTAAATTGCAATTAGGTCCGTATCAAATCTCAAATTCTCAAAATCAAAAAGTCCTTCCATAGTTGCAGGCATGATCGTTCTCTATAATTTCAGATTGATTATCTCCTTTGACCGTCAAATTCGCCGCCCTTCTTCACGCTTGATATTGGAGCTATCGAAATTATCCAGCTGGAGGGCCGAGAATTTGGTCGGGATTCCCAGAGATTTGTGTGGTTCGCATTCACGGCGGGGATGGCTTTTCCGGCAGATTCCCGATGGTTTCGACATCGCCGATCTGATGGAGTTGCCAAAGGCCACTTCTGAAGTGCCTAACTGCCAAAAGGCCAAAACACGTTTCATTCTTCTTCGGCCACTTCAACCTCGTCCTTGCCGCCGTGAACCGCCCGGTATGGGATGACTCGCGATGCCAGCCGACAAAAAAACCATGGTTGCGCACGTCCGACTAATTTTTTCTAAAATCGGCTCGAAAAAGCTTGAATCAGTCAGCCACGGCGGACAGAATGCGGTCTGTGGAGCGGAAGAAAAATAGGAGGAGCACCGTTCGACTGAGGTTGGGCCGGTTGTTGCAAAGATCCCGGCGGCACTGGACGGAGACGACCGACGCGATTGGCAGAGGAGGCGGGCTGCGGCGAGCTTCTGTGACTGCGAAGAAGCTGGAATGGAGAGTTGTAATTGCCGATGTGTGGCGGAGTCAGGGTGGATGTCCGGTGGCGACGTGAGGCGGAGCTGGTGGAGGTCTGCGGCGGAGCCGGAATCCATCAGGGAGAGCCGGCCGGCGTGCTGCGTACTTGTGTGTGTGTATATGTTTGTGACAGGAGGTGTTTGTGTTGTGTACATGTGTGCGTGTGTTGTGTGTGTGGGTGCATGTGTTTTGTGTGTGTGGGGTGCGTGTGTTTGGTGAGTAACAGTGGTGACGTGGCATGTGTGTAGATGTGTTGGCATGGGTAATGTGGAAAATTACTACATTACCCTTAATGAAGGTATAATTTTGACTTTTTTTTAATCCATTAGATCATCCGATCTAATGGCTACGATTAATTCTTATTTCTTTCATTGAGCACTATTCTCGCTGGAACGCGACCCTATATATATATATATATATATATATATATANGAAGGTGGAATAATACACTAAGATTGCATGTGATAAAGACACATGTCCTAAGTTAATGCTTAGTCTAACTTAGGTGTTGACTCCTCAAAACTCTTGGCATGAAAATTGTTTCACCATCAATTTGGTTTGAAAAGTCGGTTGATCTTAAGAAATGGAATTAAACTCGGCAATTGGACTTTATGCGAGAAGATTTATTTGGACCAAACTAAAATCAATTCTTAAACGGAGCTTATTAATTCTAAGGCTGTCATTTAAAACTTAATTTTGGCTTAAAATATAATCAATTTCTAATGTCCAAATTAATAGATTGATCTTGACTTAAAAATAGCTAAGAACAATTCTTAAGAAACTACTATAAGGCTCGACATTGATCGAGTTAAATTAACTCGATTCCGATCAAAACTCAATTTCGACGATTTCTCGAAATATTCTCGATTTTGATTATCTCGTCGACTTGAAATAATTAATCCCAACTAATAAAGTCTGTTTTTAAAAATAAACGGATCGTAATTAATTACTGGAATTGACTCGGTTATTAAATAGAATTAAACCGAATCAATTTTCGACTTAAAGTCGAACTTATAACTAGGCTCGGCAACTAAAAAATTGCGCTATTAATATAAGGAAAAATAGTTCGAACTTTGAACTGAATGACTGAATAACTTAGGCTCGAAACACACATCGAGCATTTACTGATAAAGGCTAGCTTATACTCGGAAGCTAATATCTTTCCTTTATTAATAAAAGACGGGGCGTTACATGACCCGATACCAGCGACCTCTCGCGAGACGACCCCGCGACCCAATCGTGTTCCTGGCCTGCTCGTGTGTCAATCCCGATCATCCCGAATCTATTAGATTCAAAAAAGTTTTAAGCCGTAAGTTTTCTACATCAAACCTTTAGATCCGTTGCGCATAGGTTTACGTTTGCTATTGAATTCGTAACTTGTACATAACGAGATCCTCATAGATCCCAACAAGTGGTATCAGATCACTTGCTTAATTCGTTTGTACAAAGTTTGAATTTTTACGGCTTTATTTGACAAGATGTGCACAGCCATATATATTGGATTATATTCGCATATCTCGGTTTTGCATGAATTAATTAATCCATTATTATAGTCCATTATGTGTTTGATGAATATTGTTGAATGTAATTTATGGTTTTAAATTTGTTTTTAAAGCCTCAGACATGTCGAGGAATTTATGGATGAATGTTTGTAATAATTATTATGAGCACGGGGGTTGACCGGATAGAACTAATTATTTATTTAGAAAACATGTACATCCATTCGGTGGATCTTGGATCGAACTATGTAATTGTATATTATATTTTCATGTTGTGATCGTGTGTTGATGACCGGGAGATCACAAAGACCGATGAACCTCGAAGACCCGATCGGAATCGGGCACGGGAAGCCGCCGGCGTGACCACCACTTGCGCGCTCGGGCGAGCGGGCGGGGGTGGAATGCGACGGCTGCGGGCTCAGAGGACCCGGTCGAGGCTCGTGCGAACCGTGCGCGAAAAGAAAAAAAAAATATTCCGGATATTTTTCCGACCACCGGCGGCAGGCGGCAGCTGGTGGAGTGATTTTTACTATTTGAACAAGCAGTACAAAATCAACCAGGATTCAACAGCAATGGGAGTTCCAGTTGGACAAGGAAAGAAACTCCTTGTTTGAGGAGACTCAATAATTAATAGCCATAATAGTGGATTTATTTATTTAAATTTATTATGCCAATTAATTAATTATTTATTTAGGGAGCTTTGCTTAAAATCCTCAATCCCTTAATCATCTTCCATGTCAGTCCCTATACATAATTTCTTTCTATTTCACTACCTACCCCCATATTCAACTTCCATTTAAATCCCTCCAATTAAAATAAATCATAAAGAAATTTTATTGTGACATCATTCCACTACCATTCATCTCATCTTATTATTTTATTGTTTCTCTCTCTCTACTACAATACTACTAACTTTCTTATTTTTTTATTATTTTTCTTTCTCTCTATTTCCACACATTTTTTTATTATTTTGTTCTCATCTTCTACTGTTCATCTCTTTTACTACTTTTTTTTTTATAATTTTTTGTTATTTTTCTTGCTCTTTCCTTCCACCCAAGATATAGGTACTAAATTACAATAACATTGGTATTGTCCTACTACATTATACGTATCATTTTTGTAAACAAATATTTACAGTATATATTCATTTTCGTTCATATAAGTCGGTATTAAATGACAATATATATGTACTGAGTTATGACAATACTGGTACTGTCTTATTCTGGTATAAGTATCAGTTTTGTAACTCATTAAAACAAACTATTATAAATGTAGTGTGATGTACGGTTAATAGATATTAATTAATATTTATAAATTATAAATTTTCACTAAATAATATTTATAAATTAAAAAATATGAAATCACTATGTAATACTCCCCCTATATTAATTTATTTAAAATGTTAATGAAACTTATATTGTGAAAATTATATAAAATATGTCTATTTAAAATTAGTACACAACTCGTATGATGACATAACTGATAATAAGTTACATTATTTCATTTCAAAATAAGTGTCATTCTAAAATTTTTATTCAAAATTCAATTTTAATGCAATGCAGTTCCATAAAATAAATATTTTAATAAAATTTTTATCATATATTTAAAAATATATGTGGATAATAAGTATAATATTAAAACTTATATATATTCATTAATTAATATAAATTTATTTTTTTATAAACTATCCAAATAAAAAAAAAAATCTATTTTACTATTTCATACAAAAATCTATATTACACTAATCTATTTATTCAAAAAATCTCACGATTTCTAAGGTTTGTTTTATGTTACTATGTCGTTCACATTATTATCTAATTCTCTATAATTAAATTATAAATTTTACTAAAAACTATTTATTCAAAGATCTATCTACTTTTCAAGAGGAATATATTTATCAACTAGTACGATACCCGTGTACTATACGGGTACTTAAATATATTATTATTTGTATAATAGAAAGTTTAAAATAAATTATTTTTATTGTAAAATTATGTATAATGAATATAAAAAATAATGAATAACTAACAAAGTAGTAATTAATTCAAAATGGGGTCTGTATTTTTACACTTAATTTTCTTATTTTATTTAAAATCTATGATAAAATGCAATAAAATGATTATTTTATGGTGTATTTGTAACGCCCCACTTTTATTTGCCGAAAATCAGAATAAATTTTTCAAATTTATTTCAAAACACCTGAGGCGCTACTCATTTTCAAAATGAACTTTAATACTTAATCAATTTCTCAACATTCATCAAACTAATTGTTTCCAACTCCCAAAACAGGTTCCAACAATATTCATAGTATTTAAGGAGCATCTCATTTAACACTAATTCAACCATAATATTCATAAATCGTAAATTCAATACTATCCCATGTTCTCAAATCATACATCAGTTCATAACGCGGAAGCATAAATAACAATAACACCGGTCTCATAGACCGACCACCACTCGCTCTACTCCGCCGTCGTACCTGCCTCGCTTAACCTGAAACGTGAATTTCAGGTGGGGATGAGCACAGTTGGAAAAAGTAGTGCTCACCACTATGCAATAAACATTTTCATAACATATCAGAATTTATGATCACAGCATGTATAAGAATCAATCAAGTATCCCCAAAACTTTCATCATAAATTCATAGTGTTCATACTCATGTGCACATCTATATCAATAGACTACTGCCGGTAGACGCATCGAATGCCCCACGGGCTTCTATCGAACGCCCCATGGGCTTTACGTCTCCGCCCTCCGGTCTTACACATCGAATGCCCCATGGGCTTCTATCGATGCCCAGTCAGTAGGAGTAACACCCTTGGGTTTTCATTTCATAAATATGGGACAACCGTTCGACGGTCGATACAGCTCACACCGAAGGCTACATGGTTCCACATGCATACTTTGATCATACCATAATTAAAACAGTAGTAACATTTACAGCATAGACGATTTTTAAATAAAACCCACCTGGTTGCTGGAATAGAGAATCACACACAAAACGAGAAAATCGATCGAGGCTTCAGCTCACCGAACCTACATATATAAAATAGCCCTATAAATAACTACTCCACACATTTATACCCTCATATCAACATTATCTTAATTAGACTCTACTCATAGAGTTCACATAAGCAAGCATTAAAAAGATAAGTTTGATTTTCGAAAACAACGCATAACTTTCAAAACATAACCCGCGCAGCGATTTTGAAATCA